ATTGTGGGGTCAGTCCTGGCTATCTTAAATGATGATGACAACGGGCTGTCAAGAGACTCAAATTCCCTAGGTCCTGCCAGCGATCCTAAGTCTGTATTCGCCAAGGATCAGAATTTGATGGATGGCATCTTTCGCATTGCACGGTCCCGTTTCCCTTATGAAACGTCACCATTTTTACTGCTCTGTCGTGCTCTCGTCAGTGGGCACTCTTTGAATGAAGAAGGTTTGCCGGCTATTCTTGAGGAGGTGGAAACTATGGAATCCTTTACACAGATTGTCCCACCCACTTTCCAGGGCTATGCCACCATTCGAGAAGACGAGAACGCCGATTTTGTTTCCCTGCTCCAACCCCTCCCAATGTTAGAAACATCGATCCAGAACCGTGCTTTCGAGAGGGAACCAAGCAATGCTGTAATCGTCAGCGGTTCTTCCGAAATTCCACGGCTGACCGTTGGTCAAGTCATTTCCGATTCAAAACCCGCGGTTATCATGTGGGAGCATCGATACTCCTGCTTAAGCTTTCTAGGAAGCTGGCTTGAAGAATGGAGCGAGACCGGTGGGCACTCGTCTGAGTGGACTGATGACACTGCTGCGGAAATTATTGCTCTCTTGGCCGACTTGATAGCCAACTCTAAATCACAAAGCTCTGGCGATGCAAGCGGCAAAAGGATTCTAGAGATGGCTAGTGATGGGCTGTCCAAACAGGGTGACATCATTTCTGTGATCTTCGATATCTTTGAACGCAATTTGCAGACTATCGGCTCCCGAGGAGACTTGGGCAAGTCTTTGGACGTAACCATGGCATGTCTGCGCTTTATCAAGGCACTTATAAAGATTTTACCCAGTCGAGTATGGCCTTTCCTTGGTCGCAGCAGTCTCATCGGGTCCGATGGCAAGGGAGGCATCATGACAGCAATCGTTTCAGCAATGGAAGTTCCTTCCGGCGAGTATCCGTTCCTCCTCAGTTGTGTTGACCTTGTGGGCGCTGTCATCGATGATGCGGCATCTCGAGCAGTATTGCGAAAGAGCCCGGGCAGCGTGACAAGCAAACCATCTATCGCATCTGATTGGAGTGCTGGTATTCCATCTCACGTCATGAGAACTATTATGTTGAACTTTATTCGCACAATGCTGGAGATTTTCAACAGCTGTGGAAATTGGAGGTTCAACCTACCAGAACAACGGCTCAAGATCAACTCGATGCTTGCTACTTCGTTCGAGCGTGTTCTGTACTATGCCTTCGGAATCAATGACAGCCCGAAACTAGAGACCAAAGTGACCGGCGTTTTCTCTACATCTGCGGCGTACATTCTGGATATGCTGCGCCCTCGGTCAACCGCCGACCTGCCCTTCAACCCAATTCTTCGGTTGATCGCTGAGGGTCTTCAGACTCCCCCAACACTTCATCTCAGATATCTTATCCTCTTTGAAGATCAGGTCAACTCTACACTGCGGCTCTGCATCAAACTTGTACAGGCAGCCCAACTGGCAGAACAACCTGCCTCGCTTCTGGAGGAACAACTATTCAAAGCCAGCCCGGTCTTAGTCAAACTCTACGCGCTACATGATGCATACAGATTGCCGGTTGTGTCGCTTCTCGAGATTTTGATCTCAAGCGCCGCTTCAAATCCGGATAATGAACCACCTTCCCTTGTTGGCCACCTTGGGGCAGAGTCGTCCTGTCTGTTCCTTGATGTACTGTCACAACTCGACAAGCCGATGTGTGACAGACCTCTATTTCTTGCAGTATGGCAGCTGCTATCGACATTTGTTAGCAAGCGTCAGCAGTGGCTTGCAGTTTTCATTCTCACAGGGTCATCCCCTCGGCAGACTCTGAAGAAGGAACCCACTTCTAGTGGGCTTAGCATGAGGAGCGTGCCTTTCCTGAAACTGGCGCTTGAGAAATTGTCTCATATTGATCAACAAGAGCCGCAAGTAGCCTTAGCGTTGCTCGAGTTTGTCTCTCGTGCCCAAGAAAATTGGCCATGGGCCACTTCCCACCTGAGCAAGCACCCCCAGTTCTTCAACAGCATAATTAACCACGTCTCAAAATTGAAGATCTCTTCTCTGCCAGTGATGGACCAAATCTATGCCACGCGGATTGCAGCTGTTGTCGCGGACCTGTGCGCGGTCTATCTGCACTCGGCAAAGGAAATGGGAGACCGAAGCTTTATAAAGACCTTGATTCCATTAGTTTCGTGGTATGCCAAGGATGCAGTTGAAGTTTCGGCTTACAATTCTTCATTGCACGCCAACTTGAAAAAGAACTTTGAGATGCGATACGCGGGCTGCAAAATTGTGGACTTCAAAAGGACACCGCTCGAAGTTCGTCATCTGGGACGGGATTACTACTACGACATGAGTATGGGAGACAAACTGCTGTCCTACGACTTTGCCTGGGCTGGCACCAAGAACCGTGGGTTTGCCGAGGAGTTTGAGCGTGCCAACATCAATCTGTCTCTTGTCGAGGCGCAGGTGGTAGGTTTTCTTCCCTTCGTTGCATATGAGTTTCTTTACTAACCTCAAAAAGAGCCTTCTCCATAGCTGGAAGTTCTTCGCTATCGAGCATTGTGCCGATTTCATGCCCGATACCGAAGTCCGAAAGTCTATGGCACTGGTCGCGCAAAGTTGTTTGAAGGCCAATATTAGCAGTGGCCCTCCCGAGGCCATCTTTGAGCGAATCCAACAAGCACGCGTTGACTTTGCCCAGGCACTTCTCCAGCGGCTTGTCGAGGTACATGCTAGAGGCGCCGAAGTCTTCCAGCTGCTCGAGATTACCTGGAACGCACTGCGATCCCGCCATCTGACATATGAAGACGCTTTGATCAATGATGATACCGATTACTTCCGGTCCCTACTGAACGTGTTGTTCCTTTCCCTTCAGTTTCACCTTGATGGCCCCTCCCGGAGTGCCCCCGAAGCTATCAATAAGAGGGCTGAGGTTTCTTCGGGTCTGACTGTCATCGTGGAAGTCGTGAAAACAATAGTGGCCCAGGGCTTCAAATCCCTCACTACTTATCTCCATGATGCGCCCGAGAAATGCACGCCAAAAGATTTCGCCATTATCAATGCTATTCTACAGACATGCTTGCAAGTGAAGAACGCTGATCGTCTCTATGAGCACATCGTGTACCACATTGAGGAATACGACACCGCTCGTCATGCGACGACGCTCTTCTCCTGGGCCGACCAATTGGCCGTTGCCGGCGACCCTGTGTACGCCGAGCTCAGCATCTCGATTCTGGTCAAAATGTCAACCCTGCCCATGCTCGCAGAGCACCTTGCTGTTGATGCTGTCTTGATGAAACTGTCCACCTGCCGTCTTACAAACATTCTCTGCCAAAAGAAAGCATTCGGACCCTTTGATCCTGTTCCCCGACTGTATGCCATCTGGACTGGTGGCTTCCTTCCTCTGTGTCTGAATATGCTCTACAGTGTGATGCGGGCCGCGCCGGAGGTGGCAGCATTCCTGAACCAGTTTGAATCTCGCCTGACCCGCGCGACAGAGGCATTCTCCAGCCATACGGCCGTTTCCTCGGTTCCGACATCCAAGTGGATTAGCCTCAACATGGTCTCGGAAGCCTACTCGCTTGCGCTGATTTCGTTCATCCTGGACCGGTTCCGCGAGGCGGGTGCCAGTGCTGGAGTTGACGCACAGGCCATCCAAGATCTCAAATGGGATAGGGTGCAGGTCAAGGAAGATATTGAGGAACTGCTCGGTCGCCGCGCTGCTCTGCGTGCACGCATTGTCGCGACCAATGAAAAGGAGCTGGAATGGTCCCGACAGAAGCCTGTCGACCCGACTTCTGAGTCACAGAACCGATTAGAGGAGAAGCTTGTTAGTGAGCTGAAGGCAACAGTGACGTGTTTGAGTGGGGAGGATTCATGAATATGTTCTTTGTAGCCTTTCTGCTATTTGTCTCTTCTTTTTTTCCATGTATTCTGGGTTGGCGGGGTGTAGTAAATGAATTCTTTCTTGCATGAAGCTCAAGTTTCAAACAATTGCATTATCCCAATCCTTCATTCCTTTGGATTCTATTTTTGGAGTGGACTATCACATGCAGGACAGGACGCCTAATTTGGGGAAACCAAGTTGGCTTGATCCTAATTGGTCTCTTGCTTGCAGATCTTGGCAGATGAGCTAACGGGGTCACATCCCTCCTCCCCGGTTCTCATGCACATGATATTACCCGAAGGTATAGCCGACTCGATTCGGCCAAGCTGCTTAGCGGTAACATCAATAGGGTTGGGTTTGAATTTGGAGGATAGCCGTGGAGAAGGGGAATATTATCGGTGGTGCTTGATTTGGCGAACCGATCTATATAGGCCTAAAAGCATACGTTAGCTTCGTGTGTGGAGACCTAGCAGTCTTGTAGAGTGGATGTTTTTCGGTTGATGAATGCAAGAATAGCCAGCCTCATGTGGCTGAGAGCGGCATGATCCAGTTTGCCCAATGGGAGTCTTTCTTTGGTAGTCCTTTGCGTTCTATTCTTTCTAAATATCCTTGGGTAGATGGCGGAAAGGGCGGCGTATAACCTTTGATAGGCAGCAACTGGCATTTTCAATAGTGCAGGCTAGATTGGTGTAGGATGTTTCCATGTACTTTTCTACACTCGTTCCTTCCACTTTTGCTGCTGTGGCGACAGTAAGTTACAACTCAACTATGGAGGTAGGTGTGAAGGGGTATAGTTGGTTAACTAGCGGCCAGAGTCAAATACCTGACTTTTGCCTTATGTTAATGGGATTTAGAAAGAACCGCATGGTTTCTATTCACTATGAGCTTAGTACACTAGTCCCATGACTGATCTATTACTCGGTACAGCGTGAAAACCGAGGCTCGGGCTAGTCAGGTTCCCCGCAAATCCTATATGTATAGCATAACCGATAATGCGGGGAGATTAACTGCGAATCATGCAGGATTTAACGTTCTACTCCTTATTTATTCGACCCCCTCGCCGTTATCTTTCTCCCCATATATCGATAGCATTAGCATTACCAAAATGCCGTATAAATCCCGCTGGACGATTGACATCCCAGACATCCATTTAGCCTCTCTTCTCCTTAAATCCCCAACGGCGCCTCTTTCCAAGACACACAAGTGCTATCTCGAAGCTGCCCGTCCAGAAACCCACTATCTCGCCACCTATGATCTCCGTCTCTGGAGCCAGCGGTTCGCCGCCGGACTACGCAAATCAGGACTCCAACGAGGAGACCGCATCCTCCTCTTCTCCGGCAACGACCTCTTCTTCCCCGTAGTCTTCCTAGGCGTGATAATGGCCGGAGGAATCTTCACCGGCGCGAATCCAAGCTACGTAGCCCGCGAACTAGCCTACCAACTCCACGACAGCGGCGCCACGTACCTAATCTGTGCTAGCAGCAGTCTGGAAACAGGCATAGAAGCTGCCAAACAAGCCAATCTCCCCCAAAGCCGCATCTTCGCCTATGACAGCTCCATATACAACGGTGTAACAAACCCGCAAAAGGGCTGCGCATACTGGAGCGACCTCCTCGCCTCGGAAGAAGAAGGCCGCGCTTTCATATGGGACGAACTTAACACACCAGCTCTGTCGTCCCGCACACTGGCACTCAACTACTCCAGCGGCACAACCGGCCGCCCCAAGGGCGTCGAGATCTCGCACAAGAACTACGTCGCCAATATGCTCCAGTACTGTCACACGGCAAGCCTGCGTCCGGACTACCAGGCCCGTCTTGCGCGTTCCCGCTGGCTATGCTTCTTGCCGATGTACCACGCGATGGCGCAGAATATCTTCATCGCGGCGGCGCTGTACCGTGCCACGCCGGTGTATATCATGTCCAAGTTTGACTTTGTCAAGATGTTAGAGTATACGCAGAAATTCGGGATTACGGATCTTATCCTCGTGCCGCCGGTTGTTGTTATGTTAGCGAAACATCCGGCTGTTAAAGGGTTTGATTTGAGTAGTGTTGAGTTGGTTGGAAGTGGTGCTGCGCCGTTGGGGAGGGAGGTTTGTGAGGAAGTTGAGAGGTTGTGGCCTCCCGGGAAGATTAATATTAAACAAGGATGGGGAATGACTGAGTGAGTTTGTTGTTTTGCTAGCCGATTCTTAGAAACTAAACTGATCTGCTTCTGTATAGGGCGACTTGCTCGGTTACGGGTTGGAACCCTTGCGAGATTAGTACATCTTCGTCTGTCGGTGAGCTCAATGCCAATTGTGAGGCGAAAATCATGTCGCTTGATGGAGCCGAGGTGAAAGAGCGAAACTCGCGTGGCGAGTTGTGGGTTCGCGCTCCCAATGTCATGAAAGGCTACTGGCGCAACGAGAAGGCCACTAAAGAGACGAAGACTGCGGATGGTTGGCTCCGGACGGGCGATATTGCCTTTGTGGATGACGATGGCAAAATTCATGTTGTGGATCGAATGAAGGTGAGGTTTTTTGTTTTACAAGAAGAAAGAAGAAAAAGACTAATACGAACAGGAATTAATCAAAGTCAAAGGCAAACAGGTGGCGCCCGCCGAATTAGAGGCTCTTCTACTTGAACATCCGGCGATATCAGACGTCGCGGTGATCGGTGTTATCGTGTAAGTCTGACTTTTTTTATGGGTCTTTTTTTTTTTTTCCCTTCTGATCCTGTTTAGCGAGAGCGATGAGCGCCCTCGCGCATATGTGGTTCTTAAACCGGGCCAATCCGCCACTTCGAACGACATCGCGCATTTCCTGGATAACAAGGTTTCCCCGTTTAAGCGGATTACCGGCGGAATCGTATTTCTCGATGCGATACCTAAGAATCCATCAGGCAAGATTCTTCGCATGAAACTCCGCGAGCAGGCCAAGGAGGAGCTAAAGAGTGTCGCTGCGAGACTCTAGACTTTGTTTATATTACAATTTATATATCCTAGCGGTTTACCCTTTTTCCAGGGATGAATCCAATGAGTAGGTATAAGAGATGCCTCGGCACAATATATAGAGTATGTGCACCATTCTAATTTCGTGTGTCCTTCGGTGATTGGCAGGGTACAACAGCCGAGCCAGTCAGGCCAACCCCTATATGGACAGTGCACACTGTCAGAAGATGGGGCCAAAGGGTGAGGGAAAGTAGATGAATGATTGTTCGCATGGGTTCGCGTAGCCCACTAAAATAGCCGAGTAGGGCATCTCGCGGTGTGATTCGATGTATGAAATGGCTTAGCGCGGGGGACCCATGCAGGCGCCAGCTGAAAGCCAAAGACAAAGGCGATCTCCAAGAGGCGTATGGCGGAGTACTCCGTACATCCAACTCCGTACATTTGTCATGATCGACATGTTTCTCTCCGCGGGCATTAATAGGTCAAATATCCAAGGTTTCAGGGTCCTAAGAAGAAGATAGGCATATTCCTTCGTCGTGAACAGAAAAAAATGTTAAACCGGTGGCGTTAAGAAGGTAAGCTGAGTGGAGACAGGGCTGGCTGGGCCTTATTTATCCACATTTTGGGGTATACTTGTCAGTCACGATGTTGTACGGCAAAGAGATCCTGTTCGTTCTGTGTTGCAATTTGGATTTTGACTTTGCGACCTGTCGACTAATTCTGATTTGCCACGTTAAAAATATCGGCACTCGGTCTCGGTTTTCTTCCGTCAGATGTATGGCAGAGAAACCCTATCTTGCAGATACTATATCCCGGTATGCTTCAGTGGTGATCACCTTCGATCATTCCCCCACTATAGTCTAAATTGGGTCTACAACTCCATAATACTCAAACTCTAGCTCTTTATATATCACCTAAAAAGCCCACCCCTGCACTCCATCCCACTAGTTCCTTCCCACTCGCCTCCCCGCCAACTCCGCGTATAGTCTCGACTCGACACTGGTATCTTTGACTCGCTAAAATCTTCCAAACTCTGGCCATCTAGATTTACTTTCCCACACGGGCAGTTAAGTTGAGCTGTTTCCCCATTCCACAGGGGAGGCAGTTTCAACATATTCTTCGCGAGTGGTGGACGCTATCCAACCACCCAACACCCCGTCATGAATGCTGTGGAACAAGGATACAACTACCTATCTTGTGACCTCCTACATTCGACCACAAAGTGGTTTCTACCAGTGACCAGCCTGGTCAGCTTTTCACTTCTCACTCTCATCCTCCTCCACCGATATATCAAATATCGTCGTATGAGACAAGCACACATAATCTCTACCTCTGGATTCAAAGAAAAGAATCAAGACGTCTGGCTTCAATCTACTGCCATGGAAAAAGGAAACATCCTCTCACCGGGCTCGCACCCATCGGCATGCGATATCCTGCAACCTTTATCCCGTACAAGCCTCCTGCCAAGCAGTGGAGCCCTCGCTGCACGGGCCCGAGAGCAGCAAAGTGGAAGTGCTGCATCTTCGATGGCTTCCTCGCCTGACTGCGAGGTGCAAAAACACATTGAATCAACTCAGCAAATGTGCGACGAGGATGCCGGGGGTGTGCGCACTTGGAAACGTCTTGTCGTTGAGTATCGATAGTTGGCCGCCTGTTTCCGGGGTTTATTCATTCCGTACATTTGTCGGACTTGAGCGGTCTTCTTTTCGATTGTATCTCAGCCGGGGATTCCGTGGGACTGTTATCTTTTTTTTTTCTTGCTCTTTTGTTATGCCTTCTTTCTTGGTTTCCCCTCCCTATCGTTGTCTTTACTATTTTACGAATAATGAGAAGCGTGGGCTTGGTTTGTTTTGGGCGGCAAATGGGTTCATTTTGTTAAGCATGTTTAGCAATACATATACATTTGAATATGCCACGTATTGTGGTTATGATACCTTAGAAGAAGGTTGAAATCTGATAATTAGCCGCCCTTGTAGCTCGAGGAACATCTTCAGAATGCTTGGCTTGATTGTATAATTGAATTGTACATGATCAACTAGTTATCAATCATCGCCTTGTTCGATGTGATGGGTCGCGGATCTGGAATGTATCAGCGACAAGAGATTCAGATATGGATTGCGTTGTAAGACATACTATATGAGGGTTTTCAAGAGCAGATTGATCGCATCAAGATGCGATTCGAGCTTCTGTCGGTATCGGCTCAAGGACTCACATCTGAGATGCCACATGATGCGTCGCCATTGTGTTTTGACTTGAACAATCAATCGTCGAGAGTGCAAGAAATTGAATCCATTTCCATCAGGTGATCCTACCGAAGGCGTGGTCACTGTTGCTCGGTACTTTTCTGTGGCGCTTTCGAGATGTTCTAAGGTTTGGAGGCACGATCGTACCATTAACCCTAATTGTTGAGATAGATCGGTGGCGCCAGGGTCCGCAGTATTAGAGTTTCTGGACAAGATATCCATAGCAGCTCTTTGCAACTGACTCAGGGAGCAATTCAAGGCGAACAGAACATCCCCAAGTTCTTGTAGATCGCGTGGTGCATTCTCTTGACCTGAGGTTGCGGCTGTAAGTAACCGGCAGGTAATTTGGCTGCAGAGTACAATATCTCCAATTGAGAAACCGAACGACATTCCGCCGTCGAATGTAGGAAAAGAAACAAGAAAATGACAAATGAGTGGAATTGAGAACAGTAATAGGGATCGAAAAAGGGTTGGTGTAGTATAGGTAATTCAAGTATCAGATAGGGTCCTCTGGGCCTCGTTAATGCGTAGCCCTATGTCGTAGATATTCCGCATTCCTGCAGATGACAAAGTTTCAGAGACAGGGGCTGGACTGAGCCAGTGCATGTGTCTGCCCCATACTGTGTACCAATCAGGATCATAGAGATCTGTGCAGATGCCTATATATATCTCCTCTGATTAGCACCTCTTATGTCAACGAATGAAAGCGAGGGGATTCAATTTGTCCATATAGAACTTTGTTTAGCTGTAGCCAACTAGTCTTTTTGTATCTAAAGCGGTATAAATAATGTAGTTGAACCCAAGCCGATCCACAATTCTGATCCGGATGATCCCGAGTCATCTTGAAAGCGTCCAAGTCCCCCGCATATATGTGTAGTAAAACGTCCCCATGACCTGTAAGGCACGTACCTATGAAGGTATTTAGCTCTGAGACTCTGGTGGTACCTGGTGGTTATTCGTCATTCATTGGGCACGCACGGCTGGGCATCTATTCCAAAGGGTTCAGCTACACGGTCAAGTCATTACCTCCCAAAATCTCCCATACAATCCGTCTCTCTCGCTCTTCACAGCTCTGCTTTCTACTAAATTGCCTGCTCTTGCTCTGTATGATGGCTATCCCGATCGAGATTAAGAAATCCGCGACAGCCGACGAACTTATCGAGTTCGGCAAGACCCAGGCATAGGTCGTTTCGCCCGTGTCCCTTCAATCACTAAATTAGCACAGCTGAAGCATGATGGGTGCACTATCTTGAGTGAACGAAGGAATATGATCAACACTATCGATGCGCCGGACAATGCCATGGCTATCATAGTCGATATCAGCGCGCCAGGCGGCAAATTCGTTATTGGAAGGCACGCACCGACGCCGTGGGGCAACGACGTAGTCGCGGAAAGAGCCACAGAGGGCAAGACGCACTTGGTAATCTGGCCATGGCAGCCGGAATGGCAATTCTATGCAATCGGTTCGACCAAAATAAGATACCTTGTAAAGCCCTCCAATGCTACATAACCTAGCATAAAAAAGGCCCCCGTCAGCAAGAGAGGTCCTGTCAGCTGAGATTTTGGGTGATGAGCCCAGTGAAAGCTCTACAAGATCTGTCAATCGATCACTTCATCGTCGCGTGATCTAACTCGGCCGTTTGATATTGCGAATAGAACATGAAGGAGGCATATAGTGGAGATATTCGGAGGCGACCAGTGCCTCAGACTTGTTAGATGAATCGCTTGTAGCTGTCACCACAGAGGCAATTTCACCAAATTGCTAGAATCGTCATCATCTATTGGTCTTTAAGTGGGGTGAGCCCTCAAATCGAACTGTGACGTTTCCTTGACGCATGCCGTCCTGTGAGAAGCGAATGGTAGCGAGCATAAAATATATCAAATTCCAGGTATCCAAACAGAGGTCAAAATGTAGGACCTGCCATAGATGGAAGATTCAAGATTCAAATCTCAGCTGACACAGCCACGCAGCCACACAAGGATCATCCAATCCTTCAGGCTTCTCTCCTCTTTCACGCATATGAACACTCATCATTATATGATCTTCCACAATGTACTTCATCCGTCTCGCTCCACCGACCGCAAGAAATCCTTTGATTCGAGCCATATCGTCACTCGCGCCTGGGAGTATTCTTCAAGGCACCTATTGGAACTACCGCATTCTCAACCACAACCACGTTAAGGGGGATAGCACACATATCTCTGATGTCTTCAAAGCCGAGGTCATTCCACATGAGAATTATCATAACACCCCCAAGGCTCCCAAATGGTTCATTTATCATATAAAGATATAATAACTAGACTTAAAGGCTAACTTGGCTGCATAGGGCTTTTGTCAAAGGGGCTTTACCTGACAATGCAACTGCCATACTGAATCTGGAACGCGAACGTCATGCTTATCATCTTCCTGGTGTCTCTTCCAGTCAGTACTTCCGGAAGATGTACGACGTGATCGACGATAGCACTATCGCCTTAGAATGGCTGGATACCACTCTTGCAGAGTTGAAATACCAGCCTAATGATATGGGCACTCATTCACTTGTTGTTGCTGTTCTAAGAGCAGCACTGACTAGTTGTGCCGTTCTGGAGGACTCCAAATATGTGAATACAGGTAAAGTCCCTATTCTTGACCTTGGAACGTTGGAATAGTTAGCATATACTAACTACCCTAGACTATAAGCCTGCTAATATTCTGCTTTCTGGCATCGGTTCTGACTGTATCATCGCCAAAGTGGGAGACTTGGGGCTCAGTAAGCAAATACTAATAGACGAATTACGATTTCGCTAATATCACACACTTATAGTGGTTCCGGTTGGCCACCTACGCCACGCCCAGCCATATGCCATGCGAGCCCCTGAAGTCTACCTTGGCCAAGCATGTGCAGAGCCATCGCAGGTCAGGGCAGTTGCTGCGATGTTTCTTTGCTGGATCAAACCGGGTGTGTTAGGCATGTGGGGTAGCTATCATCCTTTCCTGAACGAGGCTTGGTCTATAGTAAAGATTAAGCGACTCTTTCCCGAGTGGGACATTCCGACACCTGATGAGGTCGATGGGCACTTAATTAAAACAGTAGTAAATTGTGCCCAGTCTATGACTGAAACCGAGCCAAAACTACAAGAATTCTTACCTTTTGACGAGGAGACAAAAACGTTGGAGATATCGGACCAGCTGAGAGATCTTCTTCGTTTCATGTTGGTACCCGATCCGGTTAAAATGCCCTCCGCTTCATCTGTGCTGGCATCGAGGGAGTTGCAAGCTTTTGAGAATCTTGGCGCATAATCTAACCATGTGGACTTGTTTGGATAGATTACACCCATAGATGTATATACTGTAGTCAAATTCAACCCGATCCACTTGTTAAGTTGTTCCCCACCTCGGGAGCTGCGCCAATGCTGAGTCATCACGAAAGCGCGCCAGCTCTACGGAGTACATCGATGCCACATCTTCAACCTACAACAACTTACTTTTGTAATTCCAAGCCACAGCCATGACCGTAACGACATTCCCCTCTGAGGGATCTCCAGATCTCGCCCTTCTCAATGTTGCTCGCCTCTTCACCAGACTCGAGCATAATCTCCTCTCTCCGGGGACAGACCGGCGGGCATTCCAACAATCAGAATATCAGCGTATGCGCGTGAACAAGGTAATAAATAACTCCATCCTTCTAGAACTTTGCCTCCAAAGCTTCACTTTCAAGAGACAAGTATAAATCTAACCAATGCCACAGAACGTCGAATACGCCCGCTTACTCCTCACCCAACTCGAGCGCTCCCTCCCACAAATCAAACCCCTCGACCGCAAACACGAAGCACAAGCCGAGATCGCGCGCGACAGACAGCGCCTGAAACGCATACAGACCGTCCTCGAGGAAGAAGCAGCCAAAGCCGAAGCGAAGCAAGGTGAAGAAGACGAGACTGACGACATCGACGACGAATGGAAGGAGCTATTCTCCAAGCCCGTCACCGAGAAGAAAACTGTCTCGCGTAAAGATCAGCAGATACCGACAAGGCCATCAGATTCGCAACGAGAAGTGAACGGAGCGAGCCAAACCACGATTACCTCTTCCGCAACAGCGACTCCAGCAACAACAACTCCAACACCCACACCCTCATCAACAAGCCCACCAGCACAAGCATCAGCACCAGCACCCCCGACCCTCCGCAACCGCTACACAACTCACCCCGCACCGCCATCATTCGAAAAAGCAGCTACGACTGGAAGGGATACAACCAAGCTCTCTGGAACAGAATCCGAACTGAGCACCCACAGACTGGAACAGGAAGATCTGACAAGCTCTCTCCTCGCGCTTGCTTCGCAGCTGAAAGCCTCCTCGCATAACTTCCAGGCGACGCTGGAAGGCGAGAAGTCGGCGTTGGACCGCGCGGTGTCGGGCATCGACCGCACGAGTACCACGATGGAAGCGGCGGGTAAGAGGATGGGGATGTTGCGCAAGATGACGGAGGGCAAAGGGCTGTGGGGGAGGATGATGCTGTATGCGTGGATTTTCGGGCTATGGGTTGTTGCTATTCTGCTTGTTTATGTTGGGCCGAAGTTGAGGTTTTGAAACTGGCATAATTCGGCGCTGTCTTCGTCTCTGTCTATGACAGTTTGATTCTATCTTTATGCGGATACCCTTTTTTTTTGCTCTGCATATATCTCTGCAAATAACACTATTGTCGATATCTACTTGGGAGACTGATATAACACGCATCGAGGTATAGAAATAGTATGGAATTAAGAGTCAGAACCTTAAGAGTCAATCCTTGAACTCTGAAATAACCCAACGACCGACTGGCATGACACATGAGAAGGAAACATTCAAATCCGCGGATCCTGGCATTTCCCCGTGCCCAATGCCCGGATGGACGCTCTTGGCTTCCAACGGACGCGAGACCAAGGAAAATGATGGGGGGAGACGATATGGTTACATACATAAACAAGAACTAGGGGAGAGATGATATGATATCCAGCATTCAAATCAGAAGGATCACAAAAAAAAGGTGGAAAGGAAATAGGAAAGAGAAAAAGAAGGGAGGGGAATACTTCTTGTTTTCTGTAGTGGATATCAGGACAAGAGAAAACACAAAAACCGGCTAGAGGCTGTGTAGATGGCAGGGAAAATTAGAACGTGAGCAAATGGAGATTAGGAAAAGGAAACGCAAAAGAGAATCAACGCCGGGATCTCGAAACGGGGATTTTCGACCGGTTCTGATCAGCCCCGGTTAATAAAAACATGCGATCTAGGTTCGACATACTTCACCAAACGATAGTTCATTAGATCAAACCGCATAGACGGAGATTCTCTTGGATGATGATATCTGTGAAACGTTAGACAAGTGTTGCGCACTAGGTTGGGATGGCTGAGCTTACCGTTCACTGCTGCCATGACGAATCGAATCTGGGTAGTGTCAGTTGCGCAGGTGAAGTGCGTGTAGATCTGCTTTTGCTCGGCCTGGTTCAGGGAGACGAAACGGTTGAGGATATAGTCGCAAGCCGCGGCGTAGTCGGCACCACCCTCGTAATCAGGGAAGTAGTTCTTCATCGGGCTAACGGGGAGCTTTTCCTTGAAACGATCGATCTTGTTGAGGAACAGAATGATCGAGGTCTTGACGAACCACCGGGAATTGCAGATCGAGTCGAACAAGGTCAGGGCTTCTTGCATACGGTTGACGGTCTCGTCTTCGAAGAGCAGCTGGTCGTACTCGGAGATGGCGACGAGGAACAGAATGGTGGTGACGTTCTCGAAGCAGTGAATCCACTTCTTGCGCTCGGATCGCTGACCACCAACGTCGAACATGCGGTATGTAAGGTCACCGATAATGAAAGTGGTCTCGGTGATACCGGTGGTCTTGACACGGGAACGGAGGACATCCTGGTCGGTGGGGAGGTAATCGGGCTGGGCAATGCGCTCAATGGAATCGAAGTAGCTAAAGGAAACGAATTAGCCACGTCGCAATGCGACAGACGAGCGGTCACTACTCACTATTTGGCAGAGTCGTTCAGCTGGTATTCGCGCGAGCGCTTGAAGCACTCCTGAACACCAGTGTCGCGCCAAAGTTGTCCAATGGCGTTTCCAACCTCGGGGGGAATGCTGTCACCCTCTATCTGAGCGGGCTGCATGAAGATGGTCTGCACGTGGTACTCGTGGCGCGCATCCTCCAGGGGCAACTCGAGGGATTCCATGGCCTCGAGAATGACGCGCATCGACTGGACGGTATTGCTGTAGATGATTTCCTTGAATGATTCACGCTCGTCGCGAGAGTATCCACCCTCGTGGATCAGCTTCATCTGCTTGAGAATGGTGGACTTGCCCGACTCTCCGGCTCCTGTATACCCAGTCAGCCATCTGTACATATTCCCATCGGAACTCAATGGATCATACCGAGCAACAGCATCTTGATCTCGTTTCTTTGCATCATCTTGTCGCGCTTGAGCTGGTTCTCAATCTCCTCATTCCGCGCCTTCCCCTCCTTATCTTCGGTGCTCATTCCGCAACCCATTTTGACGGTATGAAGTCGCAATTAACGGTGTGAAAGTGGATAGAGGGTTCTTCGTGGAGGGATATTCGATAGTTTGTTACAGGGACTGTACAAGGCGAATCACTGTCAGCAAGCTGGAATAATTTCTTCCGGAAATATCGCATTGACGGGCTCGAGGAGGCGTTGCATAGGTAGCACAAGCACCGCTGAGCAGAGGCAGACGGCGTTTCAGAGTTGGTGTAAGCGTGCCGATGCAAGGAGTCGCCACCGAGTTTCCAGAGCAAATAGCCAATTGACAGGATCAAAGGGGGAAAAAAAAGGGTACCCACCTGAAGGTTCTTTTGCGATTTGCAAAAACGAAGGACAAATCGGCAACAGGGTATAAAGGAAAGAAATGAAAAGAAACGAGCCAGAAGAATTCAAATAGAATCCAATCTGGAAAAGAAGAAGAGAGAGAGAAGAGATACAAGTTGTTCAAAGGTAAGGGGCAAGACGGCAAGACTGAGGGGGGAAATTGGGAAAGTTTCAGCAGAGAAAGGGGATACGCTGGTAATACCACGGCAGTTAAGCAGCGCATGGGTGACTGGGGCGGTTATCGGAGGAAATAGTATGGTGTTTTCCGTACACAGATTACCGATTACAAAACAATACCACCCCGGCAACTGCAGTGAGCTGATTGGGCGGTGTGGGGACCTGACTGGCCCATTCAGCCCCTTTTGCTTTTTTGGCTGGTGATATCCCACGGGCATTGCATCAGAGATTCTATTTTCAGAGGATGTCGATGTATATGGATGCATCTATGGAACATTCTGTTTCAGACAGTCAGCCCTTCATACCAATGCTCCATAATAGAGCACTGTACCCGGGTACTTTGTATATATAAAAATGCCGGTGGACTCCTGGAGGCGTGCAGATCTTGTGGAGAGCAAAACTAGCATATCAAATTACAATGCTAGCAACAACAGGAAACTTAGAATTCTGGCTCGTCAGGGAGTCTGGGGAGCGAACCCCTGAAGAATACTTTATGTACATTTAGTAGATCATACAATTTGCTCCCCACACGGTGCATAAACCCCGAAGTCTGACCTCATCTCAGTTCTCAGTTTCAGTCTGAGGAAACAAAGAAACAAAGCAAGACTCCTGCCCAATCAGACTAGTCTGCGCCTCATCCCATGCATCCATGTGCAGTTCTTTGATACTTCCTTGAAACTTCTGAGGTACAATAATACGGACAACCCAATAGGTACAACATACATAGTACCATGCCGAGATAGACTGTCATACCTTCAACATTACTGCTCAGCCCCTCGACTGATGAATCCAACAATCCTACGTCAGCATGATTGAAAAGGAGGTGTCAGTGAGCCCAGGGAAATCCCCGAATCGGTTCGATAGTGAAACTGAAGGGATTTCCTCGTTCCAATGGCGCCCTAAGGTTGTCTCCTTAAGTTCTGCAGACGACCCACTGGTGCCCCTAGCCGTTTTCGCCGCTAATTTGCGTGAGGAGTTTCAAAGTTGATACTAGACTCCACTTGGCGCCTCGTGGCAATGGAGACTATTGAACTTCGCGGTTTAGCTTGGTGTCTAAACATGACCTAAACTGGCGAAATGCCGAAGTCACGGGATGTGCTGATAATACACTATATTACTTAGATACAGCCTCATACAAGAATAAATTACAGATCACCCTCCATGCATGCATGTTGTAGATCAGTTCCAATGGCTGCCTGCTTCATATCAGGTGACGTACATTTATAATGGAATAAAAAACCCAGCGCTACTCACAACCTCAATTCCTTCAACCCCTTTACAAAGTCTACCTTTCAAAGGACTCCAACCAGGACACTCAAGAGTGTACTTTGACTCATCTTTTCTATATTCTCCGGACGCTCGCGCAGCATCCAACTTGCTAGTGCGTGACGATGGGTGATGCCCTGCGGCCAAATGATGATGATTTCAGCGAAGTCCTCCAGCAGAGTCTCAAGATATGGACTTCCTATCTAGGTACTGGTGACAAACAGAGCCCTATCCCCCGACAAGCCATAGATATGAGACCTCTCGTCAGTCAGACCCCGTCTTTCCTCGGTGATGGCCTTCCTTTGAACGAGAATATCTCGTTCGCTTGCGAAGAAAACAAATCCCATGATAGACTTTACATCAACGGCAGATCAACGTGGAGGACTTCTCAAGGGACCTGTGACCTACCACCAAAGGTTTTTCCAAAGCAATTTCTATTAGCAGTTGACCGTCGATTAAGTGTGGAATTATCCAGAAGATTCTCCTCTTTCAGACTGGCATAGAGTTCAAGGGCTCTCGGGCTATGATGAGGGAAACTACCTATCTGTTCTTTACTTTGCATGGGCTTACATCCTATCTGCTCGATGGGTTGAGTTGCTTAATCGCTCTGCTGACCACGAATGTCACATGGGCTACATTGCGGATCGGGTAGAGGGTCGATTGCCACAGCCAAACAATCAATCTCTGGTTCAAATTGACATCGGCCACGATGCTTCCGTGGAAGAAGTCCGCTGGTGGCAGGCTATTTTGGGCTCTGACGATAGGTGGGACGCGACCGTGAAGTATAATGGCCACATCTATTTGTCGTATGGTCGATTTCGGCAAAGAAGGTGGAATTCAACTTGGCCACTAAGGATGTTTTGAGCGCAATTTCAGAACCACCATCGTCGGAAACCGCTCTCAACTATCTCTCACGTTTCTGTGTGCACCATCGCCTCTACGCCCAGTGCTCGGTCGCCCTTGCTGGGGTACTCTTCATTCCATTCCTGGGGAAGGGAACACTATCACTTCCTCTTCCAAGGCAAGCTTCTCAGTCGGAACTAACACATCGTATTAATGGCTCGCCTGTTTCTATTCCGGATCTTCTAGCTGAGCACACCGAATTACTTCCTAGGTATATGACGTTGAGCTCCAGCCCGCAGGCTTTGCGTTCTATTCTATGCAGCACCTTTTTCAATCCAGATATTGAGTGCAATCTCGTCAGCGCCTGGCTGAACCCGGCTCTTGCGATTCTCAATTCCATCTCACCTAATGAGTTGGGCCCTTTTTTTGGCAAATCGAAAGCCTCTACTCGGACCTCTCTGGCTTGGTGCAATTCTCACAGGTCTGGCAAATATTATTTTACGTGACGTACGGACGGGAATGGTAGCTTTCGATCTTACAGCATCGGCCTGGGCAAATACAGCAAATACATTCTTGACCTCTAGAATGGGGACTAGTGATGGTGAATCAATACGCCGCGATGACGAATGCCGGCTGTCATTCATTACTGCCTGCGAAGGCCATGACCGACCTCCAATCTGGCCTTGGAAGCCTTTTGGGAGCACACCAATTTGCGACACAGATCTGAGCGTCCGACAGCATTTTCAATGTGCTCATTGCCTAGAATACGAGTCTTGGGAATGGATGTTGACAAATGACGATTCAATTCGGGATTTTAGAAAGGATAACAACGAATTCCCTGATCAAACACCACACTCCGCCCCCAGTATGACACCGGCAGCACTCAGCGATTATAAATATGATTTCTCTTCGCAAATGCACTCGGAAGGAGTAACCCGTGGAATATTTGGATGGTTGAGACGAACTGGTTATCCTCTTAGCGAAAAACCCATATACCAACATTCATGGGTCGATTTGGAAAGCAGTGACGAAGAAGAAGAGCCCGATGATGCCAAATCTGACGTGGAAAAGCACCGGAGCGCAAAGAAAAAGCACGTTGACACATGGCTTGACGGAATCGAATAGCGCTTATGAATCGGGTGAGGCCGTGATATCATTGTACCAAAAGAGCAGTCTGGTCCCGCTAGCTGGATGATCGAGACATAAAAACACGGTACATGGCCCTGTATTGCCGTGGTCAGCGGTTTGACTGATCTTCCACCTTTTCAGACTGCCTTGCACGTGTGACTGTTGTGCTTATCATTCTAATGTCCGCATCTTAGGTCTCTGTAAACAGCCCGAACTGGCGGTCACTATGATCCTTACTCGCGGACATGCTCTAATGCCGACCAAGAGCCTAGTCGTTCTACACCACTGCAGACCACTTGAAGGAGAAAAGAAAAAAAAAGGCCGAGGATGATGATTGGACGGCTTAACCACCTTGCCCCGCTATGTACTTTCCAAGGCGAGAATCCACCGCTTGCATAATGCAGTAGATGGGCTCGAATACTTCGCCCTTGATTGAAGGGATTGACAATTGACATGCAAGAAATGGAAAATGGCTCACGGTTTCAGCAAGACAGATTGGCAGAGAAGTCCATATGCTCAGGTGTATGCATAGTGACTGACTGGATAGACTGGATACAACCTCGCACAAGAATAAATTACCTGCAGTTCTAGAGCCAATATTACAAATTGCGTAGATCATTCCAAGGATCGATCTACACCTATCTAAGCCACAAGACGTAGATTTATGGCTAATCGGTTGTAATATACTCATACATATCTACAACATACATATTCTCTTCTACATAATATCCCAGCTATATAATAACCACAATGTGAATCCCATCGGCGATCGTTCTACCGATCGAAACCAATAAACCTTGGTACCCAACGAGAGTTCCTCGATCGATGTGGTTTCTCGGTTTCTCCACTTTAAAAAAGGTACCCTTCCCCTTCCCCAGGCTCCCTTCTTATCACCACAATCATGTCGCACGAAATGTCCCAATTGGGCCCTCGGGGTAATACGCCAATCCCTCTTGAAATGAACGACAAGCACTAACAGTCCCAGCCTTCAACCACGCGAGCAGCAGCGACGCCGAGGCGGAGTACGACCGGCTCCGCGACCTCGCGCGCCAGGAAGCCTCCAAGCGCGGCGAATGTTTCAGTCGGGTACGCAAGCACCCAATCCCAATTGCAGTTGTAGTTGTAGTCATTCGATCACCGCTAACACCCACCCACCAGTCGAAGGAAGCCTACTCGAGCGGCGATGGCGCCGGCGCCAAGCAACTCTCCGAGGAGGGCAAGGCCCACGGCCGCAAGATGGAGGAGTACAACAAACAAGCGTCCGAGTTCATCTTCCGCGAGAACAACGCCAACGGGCGCGTCGAGGCCGACACCATCGATCTGCACGGCCAGTTCGCTGAGGAGGCCGAGGAGATCCTGGAAGAGCGGATCAAGTATGCCAAGTCGCATGGACAGACCCATCTTCATGTGTAAGTGGCGGAAACGAGCCCCTGGGAATTTCTTATCGTGTGCGCTGGACGCGACGCAACGTACTGCGACTAATTCCGCTTCGCGATATAGTATCGTCGGCAAGGGGAACCACTCCGCGAACCATATTCAGAAAATTAAGCCGCGCGTCGAGCAGGTGTGTCGGGAGCTGGGGCTGCAGTATACCACCGAGGACAACGATGGTCGCATCTATGTCAACCTGACTGGTGGTGAGGCTGTTATGCCTCCTTCGACTGGTTACCAGGGTGGGGCTGGATACCCGGGTCAACAACAGGGACACCAGCAACACCAGCAGCAGCAGCATGGACAAGGACACCAGCAGCAACAACAGCAGCAACAGCCGGACGAACTCGAGGAGCTGGCCAAGAAATTCGTGCCCAGGATTCTGCGGAAGCTCGAGAAGGCTTGCTGTGTGGTTATGTGAGCTTGTGGTTCGGTGTTTGGGACATATACATAGATGCATAGCTGTGTTTGTGGACAGATGTTTGTTGTTTTGCCTGTGACATTTTGCGCTGTCGGTTTCTCGTTTCTAGATCATCTACCATCTACATAAGTATACTTCAAGTCTAGGTTCAGCCGACGACTCATGATGGCAGGGATGTGATTATACCCCTACTTCATATGGACATGGACATTGCCATTTACTTTCATGCTGTTGAGGACAGCTAATTGAACAATTTACACTCCCAAATCCATATCATAAATCATATCATCGTGAACTCTCATAGCTACATAGCAAATTGTGAAAACAAGATAACTGAAACGGGGTATATCCAACAAATACACGACTTCCACAAAATCATAGTAAAGAACAAAGAACCAACTAGCGCGCATTGGGATCCGACAGCGTCGACTCCACGATCTTTTCCACAATAGCACGCACCATCTGCCCATCACCAGCTCCGTTGATCTTCGGCGTAGCATCGATCGTCTCAATCAACGCCAATGCCTGATCTCGCAAATCCCCGACAACCCGACTGGTGTGCGCAAAGCTGCCCGTATTCTTCATATACTGCACCGCATAGCGCTTGACCTCCACATCCTTGGTATTTTGCTTGAGGATATTAATCAGCTGGCGATTAGACGGGTCCGAGCGAATGCTGTGAATTATCGGGAAGGAGAATTTTCCCTCGGTGAGATCCTCGCAGAACCCTTTATTCTCCGTGTACACAGTACTCGAAAGGTTGAGGTAATCATCGCAGATCTGGAATATCAGACCCATGACATTCACCAAGGCAACGCAGTCTTTCCCCGTCGTACTCTCCGCCTGCATCAGTTTCACCGCGAGCCGAAAGAGCCCGCCCGTTTTATTGCCGACCATTTCCAGGTACTCGTCTTCCGTCGGGCAGGTCAGCGTGTCGCGCCAAAACAGATCCATCCCTTGGCCCCGGTGCAGGTTCAGCATCTCTTGTACGTAGATGTCGATTGCGGCCGGGTTGTTGAGCTGCTGAACTTCTTGCAGCGCGAGGAAGTACACGTAATTTGCGGAGTTGATTGTTTGCGCTGTTCCGAAGATGTTGTGCGCGACGGGGATGCCGCGGCGGAGGACGGAGTTGTCTTCGACGTCATCGATTCTGGCGTCACGCCGTCAGCATCGGATATGGATCGGGTGTGAAGAGGGAGGCGGTGTGGGGTGGACTCACAATAGTGATGATGTATGCAGCATCGTTACGACCTTGGTGATGATCGCCAGGCTCGCCGGCGGGACCTGCAGCCAAGCGTTGAAGGCGTGGATCAGTTGGCGCCGAATATCTTTTCCTGGGTGTTCGTGTACATAGTCGTATGGACCCATGAGAATCTTGTCGTTCTTCGATGACCATGTTCCATCCTTGTACTTGGTACCGTCGACGCTGGACTTGTTGCGACGATGTCCGGTTTTTGGAGGCTCTTCGTCTGTCACCGACAGTTTGTGTCGGTGCGAGGGGCTGTCGGTGCCATTTGTTGCATTGGTCGAGCTTTCCCGAGGAGGAACGGGACTCGATGGTTGGAAGGATGTTGAATTCATGATTGCGGATGGGGGATGGAGGGGTTCGGTAGGCGGCAAAAATTAGCTAGGGACCTCCGGGGCTAGAAGTTTGGTTCATGTATAGATGACATCAACACCTCTTTTTCATGTTTGTATAGCTACATATGTAGAATGATACTATGATAACTATATCGTGAAACGTATCATGCAAGATGTATTCTGCGTACATACTTTGTACCTAGTCGTAGATGGTATGATCGGATGCCGAGGTTGACTAATCGGGCGGCGGGGCTGAGCCACTTGAGCCAACAGTCACCAGCCACCTTCCACCAGCCACCTGTCACCTGCCACCAACCACCAGCCACCGAATATAAGGTTGACAAATGAAATACATCAATTTGATTGGCAACGCAGCCCTGGATAAACTATAATGATTTGATAGGTCATAAGCAGGGACAACCCAAATGTATTCAATAATCCATAGAAAATATCATGTTCGCTACAGCAACGGAGCAAGGGAAACACGGTGTGAACACGGTGTGAATATACGGTGTATACAGTGTACACGATTTAAGCACTCCATACTTACTCCATACTTACTCCATACTATAATTAAAGTCGAATCTGATTGACGCCAGGGGTGGATCTGGAAGAAAGCGAGTTAAGAGTGTCCCGATGCGTCGAGTTCCCTGGTTTATTGGCGCGTTGCCGGGGGCAACGGCGCTTTATTTACTGCGAACCTTGGAAAGCCGCGAAGGGCCCCGACTGACCTCATCCACTCCCAACTGGGACAACACGAACCTTCTCCACTTTCTTTTTTGGATCTTTTGTTTAAGAATGTTCCTTTGCTTTTCATTTCGGTAGAATAGCTCACTTTTCTATCTCACATCTGATTTATCAATGGAGGCTCTATTAGCCCATTCGTTCGATTACCTCTCCTCTTATGAGCCTAGCAAGATCCGTAAAGGATTACGCCAGGTCGAAGGACTCCTCGCACAGATATGTTTATCAAAACCTAAGCCCGTCTTGGACCGGAGATCGCGCTCCCCCGATATCCAGCCCGTCCCAAAGACGTTGCCCGAGTTGCGAGACGATCCGGCCTTTCGGGAATTTTCCAAATTGCAGGAAAGCTTTCAATGGAATAGTATGTCTTTGAAATTTCTATCGCAACTAGGGCTTGGGTACTAACAAAATGCTTCAGTCGCCATGCGCCTAGTATCCTGTCTTGAACACCTTCTCGGCCGAGGGAGTAACGGGACAAACGACATGCTCATTGTCTGCACACTGGATTTAATCCAAGGTGCCCTCCTCCTCCACCGCGGCTCGCGCTCCCTCTTCGCCCGCGAAATTTACATGAACCTCCTCCTTGACCTTCTCGACCCCATCAACTGTCCAGCAGTGCAATCAGCAACCCTACTAACACTCGTCACCGCCCTACTGGACTGCCCATCAAACACACGCACATTCGAGGGCCTCGATGGCCTCCTCACCGTCACATCACTTTTCAAACAACGCGCCACCTCCCGCGAAGTCAAGCTCAAGCTTGTCGAGTTCCTCTACTTTTATCTGATGCCCGAGGCCTTGACCTCAGCACCGATGTCTCCACAAGGTCTGCAGCGCAGCCCCAGCAAACGCACCTCAGCGCGTAGTCCGCGCTCTGCTGCGGCAGCAGCGAGTAAAGTGAGTCGTGATATACGTACCACGGACGAAAAGCAGAATCTTCTAGGGAGGTATCTCAATAACGTGGAGGACCTCGTGGAGGATTTGAAGGAGACGGCTCCGTTCGGAGCGACGGTTTACTGAATGACCTGACTGGCGATGATTGACTCACTGCTTGACGACCAATATGCGCGATGTCCGCTGCGATGACTTGGTGTTCCCTTCCTTTTTCTCTCTCTCCATCTCTTTTCTCTTTACTCTTTTTCCATCTTCCCTTCTCCTTATCTTTCGCCCCTCTTCACGGGCGTTTACCTCATGTTCCGTCCGGTACGGCAATTATGCGATCTTCTAGACTGATGCCTCGTCCCCTTTTGGCCTGTCTTTTTTGCCTATTTATTCTTCGCTTCAATCCTGGAACTTTGTCGACCTCTACTGTGCGCTCTCCCGGCTTCGTTTCCTCGTCGTTTCCCTTATGTCTCTTTAATGGCGACATGCATGTGTATGATTATTCTCCGTGATTAAGCTGAACTGTCAATATAGTCCTGATGACCACCAATATTTCTTCGTAATTCTACTTCTCAATGTAGGCTTCAACTTGTAACCTCGGTTTCGGGCTATCTCCGGTTATCTTTCCTATCTTTCTATCTCCATTATAGCCTGGATTTATTTCATATAAATGAGTCATCATATATGAGTCAATGTAGCACGGACTTTAATAACCAACTATATAGTTATATACTTCAAGTTCGACGCTCGAAGTGGATCAAGTCCAGTATTACCGTGGATCGCAAGTTCGATATATCCCCGCTAACCCACCGAGATCGAGAATCGTTCCACGGTACACCTTAGCCTTCAAAATGGAGACAATCCAGGAGTTGCTAGCGGCAAAGCCGTGCGGAAACCCAAAGCAGACGCAGTACGTCGACACGGTCGAAGCATACGATAAATGGGCAGAGGTGTGTATATATATCCTCTTTGCCATAATATATATACAGCATTCATATAACCATTTAAACTGTATCCACTATCTATCAAAATACCAAAACTAATACAAAACAGGTCTACGACACAGACGGCAACTTCCTCCAACGCCTCGACACAATCGAGATGCGCTCCCTACTACCCCAATTCATCGACCGGGTAAGCAAGCGCTTCCAGCCAACAGATACCGAGACCGAAACAACCCGCCCTAGCCTAGTAGATCTAGGCTGCGGCACCGGCCGCAACACAATCCAGCTCCTGACCGCGCTTAGCACAGCCAATAAAGCCACCTCCTTCTCGGTAATCGGACTGGATGCCTCGCGCGGGATGCTAGACGTAGCGCGGACGGCGACAGGCCAGTATGCGGCGGAAAATGCAGCACAGACGCACGTTGAGCTTGGGATCCTTGACCTTCTTCAGCCTGAGGTATCGAGGACACAGCTTCCGGCTTCGTTGTATGCACCCGGTGCTGTGGGGGTCATATCTACGCTGGTGCTGGAGCATATTCCGCTTGGGCGGTTTTTTGCGGCTGCGGCGGGGATTATGAGGTCCGGGGCGTATTTGCTTGTGACGAATATGCATGCGGAGATGGGGATGCGGAGTCAGGCCGGGTTTACGGATGAGAGGGGGGTGAAGGTCCGGCCTACGAGTTATTGTCATGCTATTCCTGATGTTTTGGATGCAGCTAGGGAGGCTGGGTTTGAGGTTGTGGAGGTTGTTGGAGCGGGTGCGGATGGGGTGGTTGTTAGGGGGGTTGATGATCAATTGACGGATGCTCTGGGGGCGAGGGCGAAGAAGTGGGTTGGGGTGAGGGTTTGGTTTGGGGTTTGTTTTGTTAAGACGGGATGAGATGGAAAGTAGATCAACGGAGATATCATTTTATCTAGATAATGACTTCGAATCCAACGCCATGAGTTGCTGTTATACACTTAGAAGAATTTCAGTAGTCTGTCGCGGTGTTGTACAAGGTTGGGATGCTCTTTGAGCAGTTGTGCTAGCCGGTTCCGTTTCCAGCCTAGGGTATCATCCAAGATCAGCTGCGTGTAGGCAAAGACGCTGGCATCAAAGAGGCCCGGGTTTGGCCGGCCGAAGAAGTGCTCATCCTTGCCGAGCAAGGTGGATAGCGCCTCAAATGCGCCACCCGCATCGCCTTCCAGGGCAGCGGCGTCGATGTAGCGCGATGTCTTGAGGAGCTCATCGCGGGCGGCCTGTTGTAGCTGGTGGCCTAGGGCTGCGCGCACGATCGAGTTTGAGGTTGTTGGATTTACGTAGAGTCGGCGTGCGACGGCGTTGAAGTTCTCACTGTCTAGGTAAAGCATGTATAACTAGACACGTCGTTAGCTCCGAGTCTAGGGTTCGTTTCATATGGAATTATCGGCCTACCCAAGCGCTGCGTATCCGGTTGTCCAAAAGCGAGGCATAAACCTCGAACCGCAGGTTCAATTGCTGTTCCTCCTCGCAGTGGACTTGTTCAATGGCCCATTTTTGGATCTTGTGTGAAGGGATCGGGTTTGAGGCGTCCGCAGGCAGCGAGGGGAGGAGGAAAGGTAGGGAGCCATTCGGCGACGCATGATTGTTGGACGAGGTGATCTCAAAGTCAATTCCAACGAATTTCAAGTATGCCTAGTGCGAGACCGATCAGTGTGGTTCCGACAGGGACGGCTACACGCATCCTTGCATGCGAGTATAGACGGCACGAACCTGCCATTTGAGACATTGAGGATTGAATGAAGGCCGGCCATGTTGTACACCAGATGCGTCGGCGAAAACGTATAGCTGGTTGATATTCTCGTGTCGCGGTCGAAGGCGTTGAGGAATCTCGTTGGCCGGATAGGTAATCAACGGGAACTTGTCGAAGAGGCGCCTGATAGGAGCAGGGACTGTAAAGAATGGACTGGCATTGGACTCTTCTGGAGGGCTATCGGGGCCTTTGGGCGGCATTGTGGTGGTCTGAAATCCAAAGTCGCCAAAGTCCAAGTCCGAAAGTCCAAAAGTGTCCAAGTGCCGTCATCGAAACAATTCCGACGCGCCAAACCCGAACAGGAAGGTATTGCCTTACCTAATGATGGCCAGGTACCGTCCTCCCCGCACCTTTTCTGACTTTTTTTTCGTTTGTACTTGGGAAAAGCCGGAACTTACGATCTATAACCTATTCGGATCATATAGATTCGATATCCTAGTGCTTATTCTATTACTCGTGGTGTTGGTGCGATCACATCAGCCCCGGTCTCTCCCGCTTCACCGTTGAAGAAACCAAACCTCCACTTCGCTCCGTCTAGACTCCACCTTTTATTCTGATCTGCTCACGCGAACAACTTTGACAATACCGGCATACATATGGCTTAGTTCGTCACCAAATACGAGGCGTCTGACGGTCCTAGCGGAAACGGGCGATTGTATGCGCGGGGTATCGACTAGCGGTTGGGGTTCTGCGACACACGGTTGCGACATTACGAATCAATCTTGCGTCTCACCTTAATTCGACGGAATCATACATATTCCTTCGCCAACATGCCTCTCGACGAAGAAGGTGCCAAGTGGTCCTGGTAGGAATATCTCGTACATTGTCAATGAAACCGGGCTAAACCGTTACTCCAGTGAACCATGCATTCGAGGTCACCGATCGTCAAAATGCCAGCACTTCGATAGACTCATGATGAAGGTCCCTAAAGCTGGCCGACCTCTTGCAAAATGCCCCCACCCGAAGGGAACCTGCAGCTGCCAGAAGTCATATGCCGTGATGGTCCGCATTCCGAAAGGTAAGGATATATTTGTCAACCCACTACACATGTGTTTGCGTCGTACTGACTTGCCTAGGCTCATCATGTCTATGTCGTCCGCTATATAAAGTTCCTATGGATACCAACGAGTCAACCCAGTCTCCCCCACCATCTATGGTTTCCACTTCGTCACCTGCGCCGGGCAAGGTCCAGAAGTCTGGAAGAAGACAAAGTACTATGCAAGCAGCACCTGAAAACATAGCTCGGGCGTTACAAAATATGCCAGACAAGGTTAAGCTCGAGGATGGAACATCGAACTTGACTTCAGACTTCTCTTCACAGGTCGGGTTAGATGGTGCACACATATCTTCTACTACACAAAACCGAAGTACGCCAACGCCCACAGAAACTTCCAGGCAAGACTCGCAGTCTCCCCAAGTATCAAGCTGCTGCTCTCAAAAACAAAAGCCAAAGGCACCAACCCCGACCCCAGCTCCTACTGCGGCTGCTGCTCCTGCTCAGAATGGTGGATCTTGCTGTGGAGGGTCTCGCCCTCCTACGACAAATCAAGCTGTCTACCCAGAGGCCGACCAATCGCAATTTCAGCCGCCTATTGCTTGGGACGATCAGAGTTATATGCAATTCCCAATGCCTCAAATGTCGCCCTGGCAGAATTCCTCGATACCCACGCACGAAGACTACATGCATTCCGCCATGCATCAAGTACATCCCCAACACCCAAGCCTCCATAATGGGTACATGGGAATGGTGCTGCCACACTCTCAGCCCCAAATTCCCCAGATAGGGATGTCACTCGGTGTGACTGCACCGCCGTCCATGGCGTACTCCAACGAGATGAACGGTCTTGGAATTACGCAAGCCTCTATGAGTCCATACATGCTCAACAACCTCGAGCCTTCCTACAACGCCCCACCAGGCGGCGACTCTTGTCATGACTGTAGCTGTGGAGAAGATTGTCAGTGTCTTGGCTGCGCTGCTCATCCATTCAATACCACAACACGAAAACATGTCCAAGAGATGGGTGCCATGATCACCTCCAACGGAGATGACAAGAACCCAGAAGTCATCAACCCTTACCAAACCTCACCTTACCAGGGAGGCACCCCTTCGACCTCGTTCCCTTACTTCATTCAAAGCACCCCTTCAATGGACCATGGCTTCCAGCCGATTCCATTTGATAGCTACTCAGACCCAAACTCTACCTTAGCCAGCGGTTACTCCTCCCCTCTATCCGCAAACCACCATCTAAACCAGCAGTTAATGCATCCTTCGGAGTATTACACCCTGGAATACCCAGTCGGCCTACCAAGCGCCTGTTCTGACATGACGGGGAGCTGCCAATGCGGTAGCGACTGTAGCTGTGTCGGCTGTCTCACACACAGCGGCCACAACGGTCTTTCCCTGGATATCCCTATCCCCGAGCACCCCATTCCCGACACAGAGGACAAGCAAACTCAACACTCGCGCCATGTTTCCCGCACAAGTTCCGCTACGTCTCGATCTTCGCGGATCCCGATATTAGACAATGTGTCTGTGCCCTGCCTTAGTCCGCGCACTTTGGAGACTTCTAGGATCTAGATGATCTACGTCTTGATGATTTATTACCATTTTCTTTCTCTACTCATTTTTTCCCCTGCGCCGTTTTTGATCTTACATGATTTATGATCTCTCATGATACCCTATCTAGAATCTCTGCTCTAGACGGCCACAATAATAGATTGACTGTTTGAATGTTTGTTGAGTAGAATTCATACCACTATTTCTGCTATTGTCTTTTTTCTTGCCTTCTGTAATGTTTTTTTTTCATCCGTAGAACCAGACAGGGCATGTATTGGCGTATAAACTAGAGACACCCCGCTACCCCGGGACCACTTTTCCTTACCCTAATAAGCCCTACAGAGTACAGACTGGGACATAGTATATTTTGCTAATATCTTCTAATATCCTATTTGAAAACAATATGATGAGCATCAATGCATTGGGGGATATCATAATTCTTAAGCAAAAGGTAATATACAGATTAAAGACAGTTACTCACAAAACCCCAGTCAACCCTTATTCCACTTTCCGAACTTCACATAGTCATCATAGAGCGACTTGAACACTGCACGGCCAGAGACATCCAACGCAGCGTTAAGCGCACGCATAGACTCACGCGACATGACATCCAGAGCCGCATAAAGACCAGGCAAGATAGCGGCCTTGACATCTGGAGACAGCGACCCACGCAGCGAGCACTGCGCATACTCCATAACAACATACTGCAAGTACTGGCCGGCAATACGCTTCGCCTTCTTCGTCTGATCAGTCAGGGCCTCGCGGGATGCGCCAGGCTGGGGACGGAGGACGGCCGAGACGGTAGGGTCGCACAGCGAGGTCAACAGACGGGTGTAATAGGTAGCGTGCGAAGCGTCGAGCGGGGCGAGCCAGAAGGGCTGTGAGAGGGTGGGCTGGAAGCGGGAGCGGCCGCGTTTGCGGGACCGCGCGAAGAGACAGCCTAGTAGGCGCTGCATGGCGTTTACTACTAGGTGGAAGCGGCCGCCGATCTTGAGGCGTTGCAGGCTGAGTACGACGCCCATTAGTCGGCACAGGCGGGTGTAGATGGTTGGTGCGTAGGCTGGGGAGATCTTGGGGCCGATTTTGGAGGAGGCGCTGGCGATTGCGCTGAGAATGCTGTCGATGTTGCATTGGGTGAGACTGCGGGTGTGGCTGCGGAGAAGGAGGTCCAGGCATTCCGATGCGAAGCAGAATTGGTCGATGCTTGTGCTTTGGATGATGGTTTCGGCGAGGGATGTGCAGAGGAGGGAGATCTCGCGTGATGTGGCGCTCTCTTTGTCTTCGACGGGAGAGAGCGAGGAAACGGCGAGGTAGAGCACGAGTAGTCTGTAGCTGGCGTTTTCGCCAATCAAGCCAAGTCCGCGAACTTCGCAGATCGTCTGGGTGATTTTTTCTACGGGCATTGAGCGGAAGCGTTCAGTGGTGGTCCGGATAAAGAGTTGCTGGTCCTCGGCATAGAGAGACTGAAGAGCAAGCGTCTCGGCGCATTGTAAGACTGGCTGAGCGATGTTCTCTTCGGGTCCCTTGCAGGCAAGAAGACGTCGTCGGATCAACCGAGAGGGTTCCGAGTCAACGGTCAATTCCATGTAATTGTCGATCTTGGAAAGAAACTTCTCCACTTCGACGTTGTTGGTGGCTAGATCTTCGAAATCCTCTAGAGCATCGATGGTCTTGATAATAGTAATTGTTTCCTCCAACTTCTGCTTCCTGCACTGGTCTTTGACATGTTTCATGTCAGCCAACACAAAGTCAAACACTTTTTGGCGACAAGCGGCAAGTTCCTTCTCCGAGAAGGCTGTCTGCAGCTGCTCGCGATGAACCCAGAGCTCTGACAAGGTCAACCTCAGAAGGTAACAGGCCATGGAATCACGATCCACCTGCTCCATTTTAGCTGTTTGCTTCGATGCCCGGGCGAAGAGCTTCTTGAACATCTTGTTCCGGTCATTCTCAGATGAAACCAGGAGCTTTGCCGATATCGCGTGGTGCAGGCTTCGGAATGCTTTCATGATCTGGAGGTCGAGGTCGGTACCCTCTAATGGTACGGCTCGAGCAGCAGTCCAGATGGGCTCCCAGTCACTGGTCAGTGTGGCATCACACTTAGGCATGGCAGCCAATTTCGCCATCATCGTAATTATTCCAATTGTGACTTCCGGAGAACTGTCCTGTTCAAGTAGAACATTTTGCAACTTATTCAAGATGGTGGTTCTCAGTCCCCGGGTGATCAACGGGGCTGGAACCCTCTGCAAGCTCTTGACAAGCAGTTTACGATTGAGCGGATCTTGCTCGATGCTCTCGTTGAGAAGAAGGGAAAGATCAGAGACAATGAAGGGAGCGTTGAGCATGTATTCATGACAGACCACACTCGCCCATGCCTGAAGGAACCTTGCTTCTTCCGAAACAGCCTCCAAGGGAAACGACGACGAATGGTATTGAGCAGCTGCCAGGGACAGGATATGACGGAATAGACGGGATCGATCCTCAGAAGATATAAGAGCCCAGACTTCTGGAACTCTGACAAGGGCTAGGAAATAAGCTAGACCAAGGGTTGTTTGGGAATTCACAGTCTCTGTGCGGCCATTCCATGGCGCCTTCATCGACTTCTTGGCATCCTTGGTTGAGATGGAGGTGATGAGGTCTATGACATCCTTGGTGGCTTTGACGAATGAGCCTAGCTGCTCATCCCTGGCGTGTGCCTTGGTTGCAGCAATCAGGAACCGGTAAGCCTCCCACGATTCCAGAGGAGCGAGTTGAGCTTTGGTTAGGTCCTTGTGGTTGCGGTGCACAGTCTTAGCGGCGACTTCTACCAACGGCATAATTGTACCTGCCATGGTATTATCGGCTGACTGCAGGGTGTTCTCCAGGAAATTCCGAACCAACCGCCACAGACGCCATCGCCAGTGCAGAGCCTGCTTCGACGACAGAGTAGAGCTTATGGTTTCTAGGAGAGATTCTAATGTCTTTTCCGATTCCGGGAACGTCGAGACTCGGCCACGGAAACTTGCCTCGACAAGAACAAACTTAGCATAAGACTGAGGGGTGTCAGCGACTTTGCCATTTTCAGCTCGCGTCTCGCTAGCAGCGGTGCGCATCTGGGCAGCAACATGCGTCTCAGTGAGCGAAGTCCGCATCAGCTCCGAGTAAGCATCCGCCAACTCATCATCTTCCCAAACCGAGAATAAACTCAGATTGCTGTTATCTTGGCGAGCCTCATCCACAATAAGGATTTGATTGTGCCACAATTCCATGAAGCTGGGCAGGTCTCTTGCGGCAGCGAAACCTCGTAACAACGGCAGCACAACCTTGCTCTTGATTATGTCGTAGTCCCTCCGTTTCCGGGAACCACTCTCGCGCCATTGTAACAGGACCTTGTCGAGCAATGCGTCAAGAAGCTTACGCGAATCACGTAAACCGGAGTTTGGCAGGAAAATATCAACCCCAAGACTGATAAACAGAGCCGTCACATTCCACTGGACCTTCTCAAGACCTTGTTCGAAAAGACCTGTGTAATTGGCATGCGCCAGAATGGTGTGAAGAGAAAGACCGACCTTTCGGTCGAGAGCGACCTGGAGGAGGTGCTCCAATACCGAGATGAACTTGGAAGAGAAGGTAGCGAAGTCTTCCTCCTTTGCTGTAGAAAACGCTAGCTCTGCAACAGCGACGAATAAAGTCTCCAACCACGGCGCTTCATGTGTCTGCCTCCGGAACACATCTCTAGGAACAGCACGCACGGCGTTGTCAAAAAGCTCAGGAAGAAGTTCCACTGATCGCCAAGGATGCATACAAGCTTCATTGGTTGCTTTGTTTTCCTTGGCTACGGCAAACTCGCGAATGATCGGCCTGAAAGTATCAGTTACTGGTTTGACCGAGCTCCAGTCGGGCTCATCTTGAGAATAATCGATTCCAGAGCCTCCACGCTCAAAGAATGCTGCACGAGCGGGAAGTAAGACATGCAGGGCAATAATGCGTTCAACCGCATGTAGCAGATTGGCTCGCTCGTCGGTGTCGAGTTTGGCGGACCGCAGGCAAATCTGGAGCCTGAGCGCGTGGGCGAAGCAATGTCTCGCGAAGAATTCATTACTGGACTTGTTGTCCATATCATCTTCACGGTAAGACCTTGATTCCCACAGCTCCACCACCGAGGGAAACACGTATAGCAAGTGCTGAAGATCGGTTGTTTTCCCCTCATGCGAGAACTGCTTGGCGGCCACGGCGGCTACCCGGAATGCTCGACCCAGCAGCATGGCGACGGCCTCGGGCTCGCCTCTCAGCGCAAGCTTCAAATGAGAGTTTGCCACGCCATCAGTGCCTAGTGTGCGCTGTGCAAGTGTCACAAATCCGTGGAGACAATCCAAGGCGCGGATGAAGGCAAGGAAGCATGCTGCGGGGTTCTGACGCTGCTCGTCCACGTCCACGTCCATGGCGTCTGCATCATTCTCAGTTGTCATTCTCTTGCGTTTTTTCCCTTGGCTTCCTCGGCGATCATCGCGTGTCGGGGATGCAGACAGTGTGTGACTAGACTCGGAGTCAGAGCTAAGGGTTGCTCCCAGACCAGAAAATATATCGGCCTCCAAATCTTCGAGTGTATCGCATAGAATCGATAAAAATTTCTGATCTCTAAGAATAGCAGCGATATTCTTCGGCGAAATCAGGTTGATGAGCTGTCGTAATAGAAGGAACGAAGCCGCGTCCACTCTATAGTTTTTCCCACTTCTCAACCTCTTTAATAGCCATCGCAGAACCCATTCCTCCTTCGGGGTAGCGTTTGTTTGAATTCGAACATCTCGATGAACTTCCGGGTGACTTTCACATAGTGTCAAATCCACACCGATGATCTGTGCCGCTTCGTGAATCTGAGTCGTTGGACTGGCGGTGCCCTTCTCAAGGCGGAGGAGCGCCTCTTGCGATGAGCGCGGACGCTGTAGGTGCGCAACACATTAGATCCCGGGAGAAAGACGTGTATCATTCGAAGGTCACATTTGACTTACCTCCGCAATCAACGGCATCTCGAAAAAAGCAAATTATTCGAGAGAGTGGGTATTTATTTGTCGAGGAAGAGAAAAAAAAACTAAGACCAGAAAGAAAAACCGCATATTGCTCCGACCGCCTTTGGCCGAGTCGACTCGGTCCGCTAAACCTCCCAAACTCCTTGCACTCCACACGCCTCCATTCACCTCTATAATTCCACATAATTGCAACTGGTTCGTGTTTTACCCTCGGAATTCACTCCGGCTCAATTGATGCTTATTTCTGCACCGATAGATTTATCGCAATGGCTGAATCCAGTGAATCCGGGCCGATCGCGCGAGCCACCAAGCCCGTCAGCGAAGCTTTGCTTAACGAGAAGGTATGAGCTAGCTGGGATCTTCAAATGGGGAAGTTGCAATATAGAATCATACCATTGATATATATGACAATTGTCTCGGTCTGGAAGGAAACATGGGAGAACCCGTTGGCTAACCTTTTAACGTCATATAATTAGTGGGACCGCGCCATCTCCTCTGTGATCATCAAGTCCTCCCTCGGTCTGTCTTTCGGTGTTGTCTTCTCGGTGCTGCTCTTCAAGCGGAAGGCTTGGCCCGCGTGGATTGGTCTCGGCTTCGGTGCCGGACGTGCTTGGGAAGAGGCTGATGGTACGTTCATCTCTCTAATTCATTCGGTTCACGGGCATTTAGAGGGGCATTTAGTGAAGTTGGAGCTTCGGGTCACTATAAGATAAGCACACTTGAGCTTGGGCAGAGGCTGTATGCTGTAATTTTTTCAGCATCGAGCTTCGTAGGCCCTTCAACAGTGACCCGACTATCCGCTTTTCTCCGAGCCTACCTATCTCCAAGATCTAAGAATGACTGAGCTAACTTGTACTTAGCCTCCTTCCGCCGTGGTGACTCCCCTATCAGAGATGCCCTCCGCCGTTAAAGAATAGCTGTCAAGTGTGTATGATACATTGTACAGAAGGCAAGAGGCCATCAATGAATGGTTGCTTCTTGGCCCAGAGAAGAATTGGTATACCGGTTCAACATCAACACCGAACGAGGTGTTTCCTAGATTTTTCCCCCGTCTTTTGAATTCAGAAAAATGATTGAATTGAAAACATCTCCTAGCACTTCACTTCCATAGCATAGAGAAGACGTACTTTTATCGGTCTCATTTGGCCTTTTTGGTCTACCAGAACGAGGCTTCGACAAGCCAGAATGCCATTCGTGCGCTTTGTTGATTATAGCAGATTGTAGAAAGAGAAATCCATGGATATCTCTGGTGAATTCGCCTGTAACCCCATTGGACATACGGAGTATGTTGTAGATGAATTCCATTAGCGCCAAAAAATCTTTAGAACCCGTAGGCACACAAGATATAAACACATTACCAAATACTGTCATCTACTGGAGGACAACCATGGCAATATGACACCGTTCATGAAAAAGAAACTGAGGTTCAAGATGCCAGGCAGAGGTTCCCGGTAATTAACATCACGTGTGTGGACGTCTAGATAGTTTATCATTGGACCGCTGGAATATAGTTATACTATTGCCCCTATATTAACTTGCTTGCCCCGAGGATTTTGTTCAAGCTACAACAATGACTGCGTGTCTAAGATGATGCTTTGACCGGAGTAAAGCACACTTTTCGTGGAAGCTCGTTTGAAGCGGAATACACTTTTCGTACCTGCGTTCAAATCGTTATCAAAGGATGATCTATCTCTATTCTTGCCCGAACAAACAAGATAGGATGGATCCCTTCAGCCGACTCCCTTGGTTTGCTCTGCAAAATGTCCTGTCCGCTCTGCCAGATCTACCGTCGCTCCACAGACTACACAACACATCCACGGAAGTCGCAACCTTCCTGCACCAAAACAATGACCTATTCGCCCGGATTGTGGATGCCATAATCGAAAACACGGCCCACGAAAGAAGCCTGTTCCCGGTTGTGCAGCGTGATGTACGGCAACTGGTGATCATCTGGGCTGAGCAGTCAAGAAGGCGGCAACAGCAGCCAACTGAACAGAACGAACAGCAAGAAACAGCCGGAAACCCGAGTGTCCTCGACAACCTGCGATACCTTGCGAGACATGGTTTCGGCCGCCTAACACCGAATTTAGGGAGCATATCACCGTCGACGCCAGCAGCTGTTCTGTGTCGGCTGCTCGCGCTAATGTCCCGGTTGCGCTGCCTCGTGCATGCGTCATTCCACGCACTGGTTGCGAAGTCCCTCCAGCTCCGGATCGAGCACTTACCGAAGAAAAGTTTATATATCAATACACGCAGGCTTGGGCCCAGCCATCGTCCGCAGGGGATCCCTTATACGCCGGTTGATGTTGGTCCAATGATGTGGGTTGAAGAGCAGCGCCTGCTCGAGAGCTTTTTCTGTATTGCCATCTTCTACGAACTGCGCAAGATGTATGCGAATTTCTCCGTGGTCTCGATGCGATCAGAAACCTTCCAGATTTCGTCGCACGATACGGTCGAGGACTTTTGGAAGAAAGTCTTTCAGGGCGAGAAGGGTGGCCAGCTGGAGCAGATCGCCACGACTCTTTCCTGGTTAGATGGTCAGGCCGGACGACGTGAAAACGTGTACTCATGGCTGGCCTCCGGACCGGTTTCAACGGAATACCTTTCTTACTACCCATGTTATACACCGTTGAATGATGAGCAATGGGAGGACGAAAAGACCTATATACATGACTATCATTCCTCGCATGGTGCAATGTCTTTGAGTGCAGCTCGATGTTCTTTAACTTCGCCGCTGCGATGCGTGGATTATGCGGCCTTTCGCCCGTACGGTCTGATCTTCTGGAGTGCCACTCGGATGGACGCTTTGGGATTTCGGCTGGTGTTTGGGATTGGCCACCATATGTGGTTTGCACTGTCCTTTGTCCTCACGGATAAGGATTGGGAAGACCTAGTCGCACGGCAGCTGGATCGGAGCTTCAACCCGATCACAATGTAAATTTTGAGATAATCGATCCGGAACCTTGGTTTGCTCAATTCAATTGCTAACTTGAATCTACTATTCTACATGGGTCGGCAATTATGAACTTATTTACCCTGCCACTGCTTGTCTGGCGTCTAGATAGGAGAAACAATACTGGGGAATTGACCCGAGGTAAAGAAGCCTTACATGGTTCTTTCCGTTGTTCGATCCGGCCTTCATATCATGCGCCATTTTCGCGCATCAGAACTCGTTCGAATTGAATCGCTCTGTCGCCAGCTTCTTGTAGGCTGTTCTTGGGCGGCGCCGAGGGCGCAGGCGTACTTGCCTATTATGGTGGTGATGCTTAGAGCAGATACCTACTTATGTTACCTTCTTAAAGAAGGAACCTACACGCTTATCAGTTGCACCAGCTTCTAGTTGAAACAAAAGCAGAGACTGGACAGCCTCCGAGCTTTGAAGAATGATAGACACACATACATCACACAATGTCAATAAATAGGAGTGATAGGTGTACTCTTTATACTTCCTCTAGGCAAATAAGTTTATCCTTCAAGTAGAGATAGCTCGTAAAAATGGTAGTGAGCCTATTTTGGGGACAGAAATAACTCCTTTCCAGGCCCGCGGCTTTACTACATAGCCAGGGCCCCTAACAGCTAGAGCTCCTGGCAGAGATTGATTTTTTTGAAAAGTGTATTTAATACCCTCGGAAATAACTGATTACTCCGAGCCATTGACCGGTATATTATCAACCTAGGTCACAGAACAAGAGAAAGTAGCGAATGAAAAAATGAAGTAAATTGAGCAAAAAAAAAAAGAGAGAGAAAGTTCAAGGTAGCTCGCAGTTTATTCGGCTTTTCCTTTTCCTTTTCCAGGCGGAGGACGCAAATTCTCTTCAACGGCCCGAACTGGAACTTCAAGACGCCTGGGCATCAGGGAAGGGCCAAGAGTGACACCTATGAAGTCCAAATGGGTCACCATGGTCCAAAGCGCCCAAGCTTCCCATGACATCCCCATAACAAGGAAAATGGATTCATCAGTCTCGTACGCGTCCGAAATCTCCACTTTCATATTGGGCGGTAGATCTTGGATCGCTTTTTGGAAGCCTTGTAGGACGTCGCTATGACCTGATATGTGGCTGTGACCATGCAAAGTCAGTTTGACAAGTACATGTTTCTCATTTGCATGCGAGGAAAGGTGAGGAATGCGCGAGGGGATAGTGTAGTTCTTGAACACAAGTCTGATCGGCTGAGTACCGCTAATAGTTTCCATCACAGCATTTGGAGCATGGGGCGGTTTCTGTCTTTGAATTTCTTGAAATAAGGCGGCTGTGGTCACACTTGATTGGCCTTTGAAGTGCTGAACTGCACGGAATAGTCGCATAGTAAATGACACTGTCTGAGCTCGAGGATTTGTTCCCTCATTGGCACCACAGGCCGCCAGCATTTGGATCGTTCTTGTCTGCTGCGCTCTTGTCGCAGCACCAGAGTAACAACAATCAAGTACCCCGAGTACATCGACGTATTTCATAGCATCCGGTTCGTCCCAAAAGTTTGCACGAATGCGGGACCATGGCATAGACCTCTTGCCGGAGACAAAAGACAGACGCCCGTCAGATATCATTCCATGCCCGACGTAGTAGAATACGAATAAGGAATGCCGTTTGGAACGATGACAGTCATACATGACTTCGCGGATCTTGCCTTGAAGATTCCAACTTGGTATCGTATCTGATGATTTCACAATGTACTCGGTATACTGGATGCCGAAGGTTTCCATCACTTTGCCCATAGTGGTGATGTCTTTGTCTGCGCCAGTATTGTCATCTTCCCATCGTACAAGGATTGCCACTTTCAGATCGTGGACATTGCCACGAGCTGCTGATACCTTTTTTAGGTCTGCTTTCAGGGCTGGGAGGTGGTGAACCAGAGGTGTTCTCGAAGGGAATGATGTCGTAGTGGATGAGAATGAAACCGGGGCAGAATGGTGAGACGTGGTGGGCGATACCGGATCAGACGGCTCGGCCATTGTGCTAAGCGATGTTAGTCCAGAGTACGGATTGGTTCACGCTTAGTACTCACGTTGTGAAAGGTGGGAAAGAATTGATGCTGAGTGTGACAGTCTGAGCGACGACGGTGGAGAAAAGAGGGAAAGGACAAGTTTCAAGTAGGATAAACTGAAGCGTTAGCAGGTGTAAAGAAGAGAGTTGAAAAGTCTTGTAAAGTATGTAGATAGGTGTAGATGTGTGAAGAGAGGAAGACAGAGACTCAAGGCGACTGCTGTTTATATAGTCGGCCTTGAACCATAGATTAGACGCCCGTGTCCCAAAAGTGAAGTGAACCACCTTTCTATACCTATTTAGAGAATCACTTGATTTATCAAAGTAAAGCAGTTTAAATTAGCAAGAATAGCAGTCTTGTTGGCTGTTCTCTTAGATGTCTTTATCAACTATATATACAAAACACGCGTCTACTTGAAGAGACTTCAGTTTTATCTAATTTATTTCTATTATTCCTCGGGGTTTTCATCTGATATTTCATAGGTCAATACTTGCATGCATTAAGAGTGTATGAGCTCTTAGCGAGAGTGTGATTATGAATACTTAATTGTTCAGAGATATCGAGGTTCCTAGATCTTATTATTAGTAGAATGAATGAATGTCTGACTCATAAACCCCGGAGAAGATCCATCTCTAGAAGCCAAGGAACTAGGAAGCAGTCAAATATTATCATGTCATCGTAAATTTATTCGCAGATAGGGAATTAATTATATAAATTCAAGCGCGCTCGACAGCAACAGCAGCAGTGAAAACAAATATCAAAAGAAGATGCCGTCCATAAACAAAAACTCAAGTCCGCTCTCAAAGCTTCCTGTCCGAAGTATTCGGACCTTTCCGATCATCCAACCCAAGCGCATCATCAAACGACCTCCGCTCAGCATAACCATGAGCCTCCATGTCATTGGGGTCCTTTCCGTATGAAACGGAGAGATCCTCAGCATCGATGTCAACCTCGTTCCAGGTAGCACTTGTCTCAGGGACGGGGAAGAACCACGTCAGAGCGAAGTACACGCCACCGGAAACAATGGACCCGGTGAAATAGTTGATGTTGTAGATGTATTCCGCGCCGATGGGAACCTCGCGCCCCACGGCACCGGCGAAGCCAACGATATTAATCAGGATACCGCAAATGTATGCGGTATAGGCACGCCAGGAGAAGCCGCCGTTGTAATAGTAGCAGTCTGTTTTGCTCGCGCTGTAGAGAGATTTGACGTTCAAGAAGCCCTTGCGGACGATGTAGTAGTCGCAGATCATGACGCCGGCGATGGCGGAGAGGAAGAGGGAATATGCTGAGAGGTAGGTTGTGAAGTTGTTTGAGGTCGAGAGCAGGTTCCACTGTGGATTTTGTTAGTTTTGGTCATGTCATATGTGGGGATTGAATAAACAAGTGGAAGAACGTACTGGACACATAGCGAGGCCGACAATGGCGCAGATGTAACTACCTCGTCGGATGCTCATGTATCGGGGTAGCAGTGCAGTCAGATCAGTACCTGCCGAGATCGAGTTGGCGGAAATGTTTGTTCCGAGCTGAGCTAGAGCAAATCCGGTGGCGATGACGAAGATACCGAAGCGCTGGCCGGAACTGGCTCCATCAAGGAATTTTGCGAGGAGATCAAGGGGATTCCATGTGTAGCCGTCGTTGAAGATCACCGATGAGGAGGAAGACACGATGATTCCAATGAATGAGGTGACGCCAAAGCCGACCGGAATAGTAAATAGCTGGGCCCAAATTGCATCCTTTGGTGTTTTCGCAAATCGTGAGAAATCGGGGTTGTTCATGATAAGTGCCGCGAAGTTTCCGATGCACGACATGATTCCTTTCACCATCGCCCATGAAAGATCGCTTCCGTGGACGGTGTTAGACTTGTGGATAATCGGGCCGAGACCGTGAGCACGGGAAATGGCCCAGGCAAAGAAAGAGATGGCAGCGATGGGAGAGTAGATCGCCTTAGCGGTGAATAGGTGACGGACTTTGTGAACGGGGAACCACAAGGCTGGAAGCGAGACCAGCCAGAACAAGAAGAAGCTGAGGAAGTTCTTGGTGTCGACGCCAGCACTGGCAGAGAGACCATTGTGAAGGTTCCGGTAGCTGGGCCAGATGGCCTCGATCATGACAGTCACACACTGACCTAGTAATGTATAAGTACGCGTGTTTTCACCGGATTGGAAAGATACATACCTCCGATATAACTCTGCACGCCATACCAAATGATAGCCATCACCACGCGGTTAAGGACGGGCCATAAAGAACCCCATATTCCGAATGAAGCTCGAGCTGTGACGGGAAAAGAAATGTGATAGACAGCGCCAATTCGTCCAGTCAGGCACACGAAGCCTGCAGCCACGAAATATCCAACCCAGACACAGATCCAGGACTGCCACCAGGAAAGACCGTCGACAATCATCGAGGAGGAAATCATCCATGTGTTCTATATCTTGTGTTAGATGCCACCAGGCTTCAACCGGGCACCATTTTGAGATACTGACAATATTAAGCGAGTCTGCAATCCAGAAAGCAACAAAATTGATCCATCTCCATTGACGTCGTTCAGGGTCCACTGTATTGTTTCCATAAATTAGTTTTGCATTCTTTGTGGACCACGATGAAGGGAGGATCTGAGATCCTAGAATGGTGAGTCTCACCTGGTCGTAGATCACTGTTGGTCAACATCATCTGGGCATTGGTGAGTCCCTGCTCGTGCTCTACGGCCAGCTTGTCGAGTATCCATTTGAACTGGCCCATGTTGGCGGGTGGACGTGTAGTCTTGGACGTATAGGCTTGTTGCTAATAGTTGCCAGTAGAGTGACGTAGTCGACCGACCAAATGAAGTGATAATGCAAATGTATCGCGGAGGAGTTGAACAAAAGACGAAGCTTGAAGCAGGGATTATAATGGGGACATCAGTGTCACTTTATACAATTACCCACGTGGAATGACTCTGGGGCGACCCTGTCTCCATCGTGAATCCTCGTTTCCCCGAGTGAGATAAGAAATTCGTTGTCTGAGTGTCTCTAGTTTTGGAAGCATCGACGATGATCGGAGCCAGTATGGGCCTATCATGGCCGCTTACGGACAGTGAACGAATGAGTTCAAGTAAGACTTCCCGACGTTATCTGCAAGGATTTGCCGGAAAATTCGCAACCTTGCAATGTTGGGTCCACTTGTCTCCATATCAAAAATGGTATCAGAGACGGTGATTGGTGGACCCTAATCTATACATTGATATGGAGAAAACCTGGAGATAGAAAGATCTTGGCGTTGACTCGATGAGATCGAGTAATAAGATAGGTCACGTGTATAATGCCTCAGGCCAGATTCCACGCCTCAGGCCAGGTATCACGTAAGCGTCTCACTTGGGATGTCAGTGCGAAAAAAAAAAAAGAAATATACAACATATGTACCAGATACGCTTACTTATATTACTATATCTCATGTGAGGCGAAAGAAAGTAAAGATAAATAATATGTTCGCATACATACTACAGTATATGGAGATAAACAGAAGTGGCATGCGAGTGTGCAATAGTGTATAATTGAATTCACAGATCAACTGTGAAACGAGCCTCCTGAAAAAAAATCCCAAGTCCCTATGCAATGATGATAAACAATATGATGAAAGAGAAGATTTGCTCCAGTGAACCAGTCACGTGTATACTCTCCGATGTGGCCGACTCCCTCAAATGCGATGATGATGATGATGATGATGATGATGATGATGATGAATAACACAGAACCGAGTTCCCGAAAAATCCTATGTGGACACATAAGAAATAAGATAAAAATGAAACACATACATGAGGCGAAACAAATAAGAAAAGATGGGACGAACGAGAATACAAACAAACACATCTCCCAGTCGGATACATGGCCGGATGATCAGTTTCTGGATTTGTCGCAGACAAATAACAGGACAAGGACAATGAACAAGATAATACCCATGGTAAATGGCAAAAATAAAACTCGAAGCAACTTGGGGGGTATCGCTGTGACGGGTATGGATGGCAATGGTGTGATAAACCCGACAATGTAGGCAGGCACAGATGAAAGCAAAGAGTGGGATATGATAGAATAGACAAACGCCGGAACCTTGGTTGATGCTGACATGGATAGGAATACAATTCCAGATCGGGAGAGGGATGGGAGGAAAGACCAGCACAAAAATGCAGTGGTCGTGGTAGGAGTGGGCGAGGAAAGATAAGATGTGACTCTCATTGCACGAATGATGAGTTCGACGTTGTTGACACAGTGGGTGTCAGGTTAGGAGAGCTTTCCTTGTCCTCGGGGCTTGGAGAATCACTGCGATCATGGGCTTGATCCCTTTCGCGCTCGGCCGATGAGGAGCGCTTGAAGACGGTCTGGCCGATTTGGCGTAGAAGGCCCATGCGCTCAGCGCGGAGCTCTTCTAGGTCCAGACGCTGAACGGAGATGGGATCTTGCTTGGAGATCTTGCAGAAAAGGGTCGAGAACAAGTACTGGTCGCCGCTGGCATCGTAGAGGGGCAAGTAGCGATAACCTTGCGAGAGACTGGTGAGCTTGGCAGTAAAAGTCGCCAGCTGCACACTGTTGTTATTGCCTGCACTGCGGCCGTCCATTGAGCTCCAGACAGTCCATCGCACAAAGACAAGATCGGGATATTTAGTTTCCAGCGAGAGCTTGAACTTGTCATTGAAAACGGGGCTGTAGCCATTGCTTTGCTCGATCTTGGTGCGGCGGCGATGTGGATATCCGATACCGGACATGCCGTTGCGCCCGGAAGCATCCATACCGCCTTCGCCGAGGACGAAGCTTTGACCACGATCATCAGCACTGAACATCTCAATCTCAACGTAAGGGTTGATGCTGTCGTCCTGTCCGATGGTGCGTGGACGGGGGAGTTGTTGTGCGGAAACAACGTCAACTGAGAATCGAACCAGTTTGCGCTCCATCTTGCGCTTCTGATTTCCATCAACAGCCGGGAGGCGAAGGCTCTCAGGCTTGAGGATGTAGCCGGTACGATCAGTCCCAGCGGCGAACATAGCCTGGTTCATTTGCATGCCGATGTCGTAAGTTTGCCAGTTGAGTGCTACCATTTGCACACCGCGGCGCCAGAACTTGTTCGGATCAAAATTAGATGAACGAAGTCGGAATCCGGAAGGATACACTCGCGTAAGGTACTTGCGGTTGTGTGCTTCTAGTGCAACTTTGTTGTCGTGACTCTGACAGACACTCTCGAAGGACCGCTCAGCAAACGAGTATATATGGTTGTACCGTCTGCTCTCTGGAGACGAGAAGCTGCGCCATTTGTAGCCGCGGGTGTAGACACCCAAGTCAGAAAGAGGCTTGGTAATCTTGCTTTTCTGGCGCCGCTTTTTCTTTTTGTCAGTGTGAACAGACACTAGAGCTCCGTCACTGTCTTCAGTTGCACTGCTCATGCTCGTGGCAGTAAGCGAGCGCCTATCCTGCAAGATCAAAGGGCCAACGCTGTCGACGGGACCCATTGTAGGAGGACTCGAGAGCGAGGGAAGAGCTAGCGTGCTCGTCTCATTGAGCGTCGGTCGCACAAACGGCGTACTAACACTGCGTTTGCGGCCGTGGGTGCCGACGGTGCCGGTATTTTGGCGGGGATCAAACTCATTCTCGTCACAGGTCTTGACTTTGACCAGAACACGACCCTTGAGCTCTTCCGGTGAAGGGAGGATATAGCAGTTGGTCATCAAGGGCTCGAGGATAAGACGTTCCTTGAATGTCTCCTTCATGATCTTGACCATTGCCAGTTGCTGTTCCGGATTGCAGTGCACCTCAAGAGAAAGAATAAGTGGGAAGTCGCATGTGATAAAAGCATACCGGTTGATGACGGTGATGCAATCCGCAAAGAGGACACTGGTGGTGAGAGTCCGCCCGTGAGACACTATGGGGCGTCCATCTGCACCATCCCAGCAATCGATCTCGACACAACGACACCCTTGCTGAAGCGCGCTAACGTAAGCCTCGGTGCTTGATGCACCAGCCACTTGGCGGCCCAGGAGATAAGTGTTGTGAGAGCTCGAGATGAAGTATTCGTTCAACGGTCGGTCGAATCTCGACTGGGGAGCACGTGAAGCGTAGACACCGTTGCTGGACGAGGACAAAAATGCGGCAAATGCATCCAGGTTCATCCGCGACACAGGTGGAGGAAGGTCGGATCCTTCTGCAGAAGGAGTGCGAGATTTAGAGGCCCTCCGAACGTACTTGTCGAACAGTGCAGACCAGTAGATCCTGTCGGATTCGATGTCTTCATTTTGCACATCACGAAGGAAAGTCAAGAACTCTTCCAGAGTCATGCCTTCTTTCGATTTTGCGGTATGAAGCTTGAAGATATCTTTGACATCCTTTCGTTCCTTCAGACGCAAAAGGAAATCCTTGAATTCAGAAAAATCCAACCTGCCGTTACAGGCAGCGTCAGCTTTAGTGAATTGTGCCCGAAGCATGTTCTTGGAACAGTTGATATGCAAGCTGCGGCAGACCTTCTCCACGGCAGCGAGGTCGAGACTTTGCTCCTCTACTAGAGGGAGGCCCTGCGGGAAAAGTCTCGACATCTCGCGCTGCCAGTGTGCCTGCAGAACCGCTTCGCTTTGGCTCGAACCAGCCAGACCAGACATGAGATCGATTCTGTACCGAGAGATATGCTCAAGAGTGGTGATCCACAGGTCAAGAATACGGTCGCTTGGAGCGATAAGATGCAAGGTTTTAACCGCTCGGCCCTTGGAGCGATCAGAATCCGCAATGACAATGGTGAACCATCGGCGCTCCAAATCTTCGGGGATCTGATGTTCTTCCCGGTAATTGCGAGCATCGGCACCAACCCGGATTTCTTTGATATCATCGATATAGAAGCGTTTGGCTGGATTAGAGACATCCCAAAAAACCTTGGCGGCATCTAAGTCAAGGAAAAAGCGGACTTGCTTTCTGTGTTTCTTGGTTACCTTGGTGAGGACTGTGCCTCGCTGCACAGCAGAGTCTACCTTGGGCGCAACGGCAACGGCGGGAACGGGACCAGCCTCGCGAGCCATATTAATACGACTCTCGCTGCGAAGACTGGATGCCTCTGAGCCAGCCCATGCACCCAGGTTGTCCAAGGTTTCACCGGTTTCATCCTCGTTGCTTGAATCAAGGGCGCTGTCTCGGACAGGTTGGGAACCGGTTTTGCTATCACTGCGCCGGCGCATGATAATGGGACCAGTGCTCCGGTCCCGCTTCTCGTTTTGGGTGGTAGACTGCCTCCTGCGAGTCAATTTGTTGGCGGCGCCTCTCGAGATTCGTCTCATGAGACCCGGCGCCTTGGACGGAGCTGGGTCATTAAAGCTGGAAGGGTTTGCGTTTCCAGGAACGGCCATGATAGATTCGCCGAGGTCGAGGGGGCCTGGCGTAGGCAGGGAAGAACCGTTCACTCGGCCAAAGAGGGGGGTGCCAGCAGGGGTTAAACTATAGGGTGTGCCGTGACCAGGGATGGATGAGGTAGGAGTACAGGTCGGAGAAGAGGTGAAAGCTCGTGTGGAAGGGGGAGGACGAGATGTGACAACATGGCGGAGAGAAGTCGGTTGAGGGAGAGATGTCGCAAGCTTTAAGTTGGATTGGGTGTCAGCATCCAGAGTCGGCGAGGTAGTCGTAGCATAAGCCATGACGAATATCAAAACGACAGCTCAGCTGTCGATAGAGGAATCCAAGCCTGTCGTATAAAGTGCCAACGTCCGAGTCACCTGGACTCAGAAATGGACGAATAGGTAA